TGTAGAAAAGTAGTATTTGAGTTGGCTTTCTTGTATATAATAAATTTTTCCTATACTTTGTTTATTTTTTATTCCAAAACGTAATCTACTTTCTGGATTGCCCTCGTAATCCTTACACCAGCAGTGGTTTGCCAATTTTGATAACCATGGGGATGCAGCGAACTATTCTGTCATCTTAGATAATCAATATTTTTTATTTCAATTTAATCATCTATTTATGTCACACCTGCCATCCTCTGAAAGGTTATTGTTAGAAAAGCATTAACAATATATTATCTTGTTAAAATTTTGTGCTATAAAAATTGATTTATTCTCATAATTTTAGATGACAATAACCAATAATAAAAATAAAAGCATTTCTTAATTATTTCAAAATGCACATGCACATTTTTGTGGCCTACGAAAACAAACTATTTTAGAGGTTGGAAACCTCATGGTTCTTAAAGCTGTTAATAATTAAGAACATAACGTGAACAGCCATGTTACAAATTAGCATTCACCCCTCCCGTCGTATTTTTTTTTCCTTTCATCGCGAACCGAGACCGAGGAACCAGCATATATCTACGAAAATTTTTCTGCCTATTCGTTGTTAAAAAATTCAGAAAAAATAATAATAAATAAGAGAAGAATAATATAAATCTGCAAATGCGAACGACAGTGATAATTCAACAAAATGGTCACATGGGGAATGGTTGCAAACTTCGAACAAGCGAATAGGATAAATCCGATGGGTTACCAGGTTTGAACTGTTATCGCCAAAGATGGCGATGTTTACATTTACGGGGTTCTCTGCAGAAGTGCTTCCGTTGTGCTTTCCTAACACAAACGTAACTTTAAGAAAAACATGCAATTTGTCCCTCCTGCCATCAAAGCTCTGATACCTACCAAATTTGTAAAAATACGTGGACAGAAATGGCGGCATGTTTTTCAGCTCAGTATTTAGGGTTACCAAGGTTATCATAATTTTACATTTATCGCTCCAAAATGTCACCAAACAAATTTCTGGCCAAAAAGGACTAACACTAAAGCTGTGCCGTAATCTACTTTCGCAACTGGTACCTGAACTTTTGAAATGGTTCCTGAAAAATATATGCTTTTTAATTATTTTTTTATAAGCTGTTATTTAGTTCAGTATTGGTGCTTGTCGCTATTGTTAAAAGATGGTTATGAATTTTTAAACTGCTTTCCGATAAGATATAGAACTTTGTACGTCCACAGCTTGTGGATGTGGTGTCACACTTTGATGTTTAGAGGATTAGATTTTTTTCGAACACAAAGTTGAAACGACTTTTTGCAAATATTAACAAACAGAGAATCTCAGAATATTATAGTTTGCACCATAACACACTGTAGAGGAGAAAAAAATAAATGAAAATTTTAGCATAATTTTTTTAAAAAATATTTTGAGAAATTTTTGAAAATCATTCATATGTTTAGACTTTTTGATGCGCATTAATTTTAAAATTTCATATCTAAAAATATATCGGTTACAATCTTCCAACATTTTCACAGCTTATAAAAGAAACTTTTTGCATTTAAAGAAAATTGGATGAATTTTTTTTTTTTTTTTTTTTAAATTTTGAAAGATATGCAATGAAGCAGAATGGGAAATGTTGTTTCTTGGGCATCAATTCGAAACATCAGTTTCAAAGTAATCTCCTTATACCACACTATTTTTATGACATTATTTATGCTATATAAGTTGTTATTGTTGCCAGTTGTTAGTTCAGCGTGAGATTGGAGATATTACTGAGTTACCTTTATCTTAAGATGCGTTTTGCATTTCGTTGTGTTTAATGTTCTTATTAGATTGAAGCATAACTACTGATTATACTTAGTGATATTCTAAACACTTGTATGAGTATTTCTGTGGGAAATTCCAGAACTTTGAAGTGTTTCTGTTGATAAAAATAAATTTAATTAAGCTATCATCGATTTGAGTACATGACAATCATTTACGAACTATTATCAATCTATTACAAATAAGTACGCACGCAACAATATTATAATTAATTAATGTGTTGAAATTGTTTTGAACGTGTTTAACAAAACAAAGACAGGTAAAGAAAAATTCTGCTTGCGTTTTACGAGTTTTTACGATTTTTCTGGCCGCATAAGGTTTTAAAAAAAGGTTTGTAATTTATGTTTATATTTACCAATTGAATAAATAGCACTAGGTTTGATTTATATATATATCTGTGTGTATTGAAGTTCAGTAATAAAATTTTAGAGATTTAAAATGATTAAATATCTATTTAAACAGATTGTATTCTTTAAACTGCAAATGCACACTGAGAAACCTTTTGTATTTTTTTCTATAAATCCTTTTGCTTAAAGTCCTAAAACATATACAGGTATGGACTAAATTTTTTATTATTTTTACTGCTTATTTAAAATTATATACTTTATAGCAATAAGGATGGGTTTTGCAAAATACTGAAAGGAAAAATTATTTGAAATGAAAATGTGACTGAGATCATATTTGTTTTAAAGATTTTAGATAAAAGTGTATTTTTATTTTTCTCAGAAACTAATTCATTAATTGCAAAATCATTCCTTGAAGTTATTAAGAACACTCTAATAAATACAATAAAAAACTGGGGGGAGACATTGAAAATTGTAGGAGAAGAAAGACATTTTAATTGTAAAATTTTTCTTCAAAAATTTAAATTAAAAAAATTACTAGCAAAAACTTTTTTTCAGCTTAAAATTATTTTGTCTCACAAAATCATTTAATAATATTCATAAAAAGTAGATAAAAATGCTTAAATTTTTTTTTTTTTAAATCATTCAAAAGGTACCAAGTCCCTTGTCGCGTTGAAGCCGATATGCACTTGCCTTAACTTTAGTTTTAATTTGAACGATATTTCTGGAATACCTAGCATCAGATAACCTTGTCTGTATTTGTCTATAATTTCCGTATGTTGTACACTTCTATCTAATTTTTGGGGGGATGCTATCACATCCCCAGACATCTATCAGCGCGATTGTTTCGCTGACAGTCCAGTGAACAGTAACTAAAATTAAGTGAACCATGCAATATAATACGAGAAATCTCCCCATTTGCCCTGCTCCCGAGAGGTAAGGCACATTCAATTAAGTTCTACCTTCAATTCGGCGAGGCAGTTGATGCTTGTCCCATGTGAACAGGACACATTGGAAGAACCGATTTTCGCTACCGGTCGAATCTGCTCTTGTGAACGAGGCTTTAGCCAGAACAAAATAATAATAAAAAAAAAAACCTTCCCAAAATCAAGATGGGAATACCTATATTAGAACAATACTATATATAAATCTAATACATATCCTAAGTCAAGTTTTCAAAACATAAAAAACTTAAGTTGAATTTTGTTAATCGGCTCAGTAGGAAAAGAGATACAGAACTATCCCCTTTTTTTAATGTATGCAGTGTACATGGTAAGAAGAAAGAAAATACCACAAGGTAAGCTTTTGGATGTTGTGCATTCTGAATGGGATTAGCACGTTTTTCTCCTAATGAAAAAAAGACCACAAAAACATTTTTATATGAATATTATATTTAAGCTCATTTGTATGCTTACAAAATTTTTTTTGCTAAAATGAATAAGAAAAATAATTACCAGTAATTAAATATTTTTAGCTTTAGTTATATGATTTCAATTTTCAATCTGTTTCAGTGCAACTGAACTTCACAAAATACATGAAAGGACCTGCTTCATTTTTGTTTAATTTTGAAATATGTTAAATCATTACATGTCAAGAATTTTGTATTTTCACTTTTTAGTTACACCCACTCTTAAGAAAATTTCAGTATGCCACTAAAACTCGTATCAAAAGTCTTTAATCTGGACTCGTCGGGACTTCGGCGATTCCGGATTATAGATGAATTTAAATCTGGTAAGATGGCATGCAGAAATTATAAAATTAAAAATATGAAACCGTAATTTATGAAATAAAGAGCAATTATAATCTAAAGGGTATCAAAATTTACAAAAAAAAAGCTTAATATTTATTTGTTTACTTTATTAAACATTTCTTTCAATGCACGCATGCGTAAAGCATACATTACGCATAGTCGAAATTAGAAAATTGCAACCAGAAAACTATTTGATGTGTATTCGTGATATTTATGATGAAGGAATTTGATTTAAATCATATCAAAGACGGAGTACATCGAGATGAAATACTACATTTAGTAAGGAATTATAAGCCGAATAAAATAAAAACATCTGCCCTGAAGATAAGGATAGTGCTGACAGATCAACTTCCAGTTCATTGCGTGCCACACCCCCCCCCCCTCAAAGCAGCACGAAATTGATAAACAGATTTCGGAATGGTTAGAGAAACAAAGGATCTGCCTTTATCCATTTTTTGAAGCTATTCCACTTTTTCTTTGAAGGACATCGAAACATTCTTTTGCTTTGCAGATCCTTTGGCAGCTCCAGAATCTGAAATTCTTTTTGACATAATCGAAAGTTCAACCTTACTTTTATAAAATTGCTCTGTCTGCAAAAAATAATAAGCCGGATCCATTTCGGGGATTAAGGAACAACACAATCTGCAGCATTAACTGAAATAAATAATTTTAGCTTAGCTTATGCCGCCCGTTGTACATTAAATGCGCACAAAAAGTTTGTAGCTTTGAGGTCCGTATTATAGATCATTCTGTATTAAAGACTTTTGACTGTATGAATTGCCTGATTTTTTTTTTTTATTATTTCAGAATACAAGGGAAACTGCTCAGGCCATCAAAAAAATGTCGCTACGACGAGCACAGCGTTTCCTAAAAAATGTTATTGCTAAAAAAGAAATAGTTCCATTCCGTCGATTCAATGGAGGAGTTGGAAGGAAAGCTCAGGTAGTTATTAGATACTCTAAAAATTTGCAAATAGTCATGAAAGTAGGAAATTTTATGTGAATTGTGATCCCATCAGAACTTAATACAATTATAGAATTTAATATTTTGCAAAATTTAACATATTGATATTCCGTAATAAGTTTTCAGAATCTGAAAAATTTTAATTTTGTCAGTCTTTTTAATGAAATGCGACCTTTTCTAGAAAGAAAATATATTTTCTAGAATAAAATAGATAATATCATGTTTCACGTAAATCAGTTTTGTCCTTTGCTTAATCATTAAAATTATAACTGGGAGATATTATTTAAAGGTTATATACTGTACGAGCTGGCTGATCTCAAGCCTGTTCATATCTGAATACTTAGTGTAGAACTCGGCAAGTTTAGATATAAAAGTGGAAAGGACATTAGAATTTTACCATTTGTTTGTATAAGTATTTCCCATTTCTCTGCAGATTCATCCCACTTTTCACATAGAGGACCAGTTTGAGGCTCTCAAGATAAATTAGTATTTATGCTGAGTTTTATCTAAAGAGCTAATAAACATAATGTTTATGTTACCCTGTTTCTTGTCCCACCTACCCCAAAAAAGTCACTACAGTGATGCCCAAAATTGTGGAAATTTTTATGTGTTTGAACTTTGCCTGCTTATAGAAAACATTACGTTTCACAAAATGCAAACTTGTATATATCATTTTAAAGAGAATTTATTACTGAATTCAATAGAAAACACAAAATTCAGTTATTTCCAATACAAAAAAAGTTAAACTATAATAGTTATCGATATACATTAGATAGTGATAATTGCAGTGAGTTATCAGTACTTAGCAGGGTACCCTTTATTTTTGATTACAGCTTCATGTCGACGTTTCATTGAGTTGACCAGAGTGTTATGCTCTACATGATGCCAGGAAACAATTATAGCCTTAATTAGTTCCCATTTATATGATGGGCACCTCATTCGGACAAGAGTTTTAAAACGGTGCCACAAATTTTCGATAGGATTGAGGTCAGGACTGTTTTCTGGGCATGACAACAATTTAATGCTCTTTGTACGAAACCACTCTTTCGATATTTTGGCCGTGTGACAAAGATGAAAAAATATGAAACCGTAATTTATGAAATAAAGAGCAATTATAATCTAAAGGGTATCAAAATTTACAAAAAAAGCTTAATATTTATTTGTTTACTTTATTAAACATTTCTTTACATGCACGCATGTGTAAAGCATACATTATGCATAGTCAATTAGAAAATTCCAACCAGAACACTGTTTGATGTGTATTCGTGATATAATGATGAAGACTTTGATTTAAATCATATCAAAGACGGAGTACATCAAAATGAAATACTACATTTAGTAAGGAATTAGAAGCCGAATAAAATAGAAACATCTGCCCAAGACAAACAAGATAAGGATAGTGCTGACAGATCAACTTCCAGTTCATTGCATGCCACGACCCCCCCCCCTCAAAGCAGCACGAATCCTGCTGAAAAATAAACGAAGCATTGTTGGGAAAGAGATCTCTGATCTCCACTCTGTTACCTGGCTCAGTGATCTCAGTTTTTATGTTTGTAAATTGTACATTTTTTGCTTTAAAAATGATTGAATTATGTTGTTTTTATCTTCTAGTTAAGGTTTTTATGCCTTTAGTAAATCTGTATGCAATATTTTTAGAATTATCAACAATTTTAAAGTTGTTTAAGTACCGCTAAGTCTTTTTTTTATGGCAGCCATTAATTGTTTACATTTGAAACAGCAGACTAGTGGATTAGTTGCCAATCTAGAGAAACTTAGCTTCGCAACAACAAAGATAACACCTTCATTTATTATTGCCAATTAAATCATGCTATTAATCCTTTCTGGAATTTTTTCAAGGAAATAAGTGTTTGAGATTTACTTCGTAATTTTTAATATAGATATTTTGAGTTTTTATGTATTTTTGCCTTCTCGTGAACTGAGAACTGAATTGATTGAATGAGAAATACTCAATCGTCTGAAAAACTGTTTCTTTTTTGTTTTGTTTGCTTAATTTCTTTTATACATCATTCTAGCTTTATTATAGTATTTGAATAGAACTTGTGACAACGATTAGATAATTCTATTCTTTAAATAATATAAATTTTGTGCATTATGAGTTACATGAATGAAGTAAGTGCCAGAATGTCGCTATGATAAACAAATACTAGAGTGAATTTTAAAGAATGCATTTATTCTATTGTGGTTTATGCGCTGTCGGCGAAGTATATTGAATTCAATCCTATAAGTTTAAATGAAATGCAAGAAAAAATGCGTATAATTCAATATTCCGTACAAGGAAGTCATGTGGTGTACATATCAGATTTTTTTCTTCAGCAGATGTAACATCTCCGGTAACATAATTTTTGGTTAATCTTTGAAATATGGTAACAGGTAGTTTAGCAACATTTTGGTAAGGCGATAAAGGTTACTAGCAATAATCTGAGAACACAGTTCCAATCACAGATTATTTTGTCTCTGAGAAATGAGAGATCATGAGACATGTCGTTTGACATTTTCCAGAAAATTCCAATAGTGATTTTAGCTAATAAGCAATTTTGCACCTAATGTTCATCGTGATTAAGCATTTTTGTTACATAAAAGTTCTAGCATAAGTGTAATTTGGCTAGCAGATTGTTGGAAAAAATGTAAAAAAAACAACTAGCAGGGTTAGTCGCTAAAAAACCCACCAAGTTACCACAATCCGAAGATTCACCTAATTTTCTTTTCATTGTTTAAGAATCACATACACATATTGCTTGTGGTTCCTCACCACAAGCAATATGTGTAAGAAAACCATTAACAAGTTGTGCATTTGTAACAACTAGTTTCCTTAAAGATACAAGGGGGAAAAATAGTTGTTCACTATCCATGTTATAAGTATAGATCTTTGTAATCAATATACTTTGTATAGAAACTAAATTCTATTAATTTAAATTAGATTTTTCATAAACGTGTCAAACAGTGTTACAGAATTTCCTCACGTGGTGTAAATGGAAACTAAATTAGCCCTATGTCAATGTAATGTATAAATTAACAGAGTTGCCAACTCTCCCAATTTAGGCGGGAGACGCCTGATTTTCAACCACTCGCCCGCCAACCCAATTTACAATATATTTCTCCTGACTTTTTCATATTCTTAAAATTTCTCACCATTTTTATGGAACTTGTCTTAATATTTCGTTATATGAACAAAAAAAAAAGTGATTTTTAATGTCTGAAAGCAATTGAACCTTATCTAGATTATATCGAACAAAACCTTGCCAATCAGATGAGAATTTCTGCTTTGTGAGTGAGAGCATACGTATCCAGAAACGTTCTTCAGTTCTTCGATGGGCATTGAGCTCCACTGCGTGTCATCTGGCATATATCGGCCAATGAGCACAAAGCAAGCTCAAAGCTGTTAGTTGTATGTTCTTTAGTTATTTCGTTTATCTTGTCCTGAGTTGTGCGAGTACACGTGCCTTCTGGAATTAGTTTTAAAAATTATCATCTTTTGTTATGTCTGCGAAAAAGGTGAAATACTCGTGTACGTTTAAAAAATTGTACACAGTTGACTTTCCTTCCATTATTTCCTAAAGGAAATGTAATAAATTTGCAATGTGTACCGTCTGTCATTGCAATTTTTCGATTTCACATGGTGGAAGGGGCGGATTTTCTCAAACGTGTGCGCACACAAAAACACAAAGACAACAAGAGTTGCTTTGAAAAAAAAATGAAAAATTAAATTTTTTTTCGGAAACAAAGGACCGAAAAGTTATTATTGCAGAATGTCTGTTCTCTGCCTTTTTACAGGAGCACAACCTGCCACTGAATGCATCGGATCACGCTGCAGCTTTATTTAGAAAAATGTTTCCCGAGATAGTGAAATCGCTAAGAATACTCCAGTGCAAGTACCAAACAGTTGCAATTGTTAAAGAAGGGGTTTGAAAAATAAATCTTTGTTGATTGCATTAAAACAGCTCCGTTCCTGCCTCTTTACGAATGGATGGAAGCATAATACCGATTCAAAACTGTATCCAATTGTTGTTTCTTTTTTTAATCCAGAGTCTTCAGAAATTGAGTGAACTTTACTTTCTGTCCCCACTTTAGAAGGACATTCGACAGGCTTTAATATAGCACACTAATTATTAAAACTTTAAAAGAAAATGAAGTCCCTCTGGATAATTTGCTTAGCACTTGGTGCCGATAATGCACCAGTAATAATTGGCTTGAAAACTGTTATTGCAGGCATCTTAAGAAAGGAAAATTCAGATTTCCAGATTATGAGGTGCACCTGTCACCTCTTAAATTTAGCAGCTGAAAAAGGGGCAGCTTCTTTACCAATAAATGTGGATAAACACATTGTTGATATTTATTATTATCTTGAAAGGAGTTCTAAAAGGAAAGAAAAATTGAAACAGTTCCAACAGCAGTATAACTAATATTAGTGATGACGCATTAGAAAAACTTTCATTAGCGAAAGCAGGCCTACGTGGCAATTGCTATGAACAAAATTATGAAGTTTCTTTGTTAACAAAAGCAAAATCTGCCTCTGCATTTGTACAAAAACTGATTAAAGTGTCTTTTTTTTTTTTTTTTTTCCCCTTAAACGATGCAAGTAATAAAAATGGTTTTTATGTGTAAGGTGTTTTTGTTTTGCATGTATTTAAGAATTAGTAACTATTTAAAGTTATTTCGTTATTAAAAACTATATTTTTATCATTTAAAAAGTGTTTTTAACATTGTGAAAACTCTCCTGATTTTTGAGTGTCATAGGTTGGCAAGTATGACTTAAGTACTCATTCAGCCTAGGAAAATGCAGATAGTCTTACCCAGGGTCGAGTTACTTTTAATTAATTCATAGTATGCAACAAAATATCAAATTTGTATGTATCCTCTAATGAAATGATTACAGTTCATCTGAAACTGATGCTAACTTTTGAAGTTTCTTTTGCTGCTGAGGAATATATGCACTTTATCTTGTACTATGCAGTCATACC